AAGTATAAAGAATAGATTGATGGTTCGTTACAAAAAAATGTGCTAGATAATTTTTTAAAGATATAATGATATAGAGTGACTTATTTAATACACATATATGCATACGTACATACACACATCACGCTCTTTTTCATTGATTTATACAAGATAGTTTACATACTGTATTGCGCTTTCGAGAGTTTCTTTGTTTCCTTCATGTGTTTTCACACATTTTATACAGTCTTGCACTTTTTCTTTTCTTTTCTTTAGTCTCTGCTTCATATTTTTCAACTTTTAAATTTCGCATGTTTTCTCTCATCTGCAAATTATCAAATTTTTTAAAAGTTTTGCAATAATAAACGCTTTTGAACACTTTATTTCTTTCTCTTAGTTTTTTTTCTTTATCAAAATCTTTGCCTTTTCCTCTTTGAATTTTGTAATCTTCAAAATATTCAATATTTGTATAATTTATTTGTAATCTTTGAAAAATTTTCTTTTTTCTAAACTAACTTTTTTCAATTTCCGTTGAATCATTTTTTCCTTTCTTTTTTTTTCTTTTTCTTTCTTTTTTTTTGTTACAAATTACTGCAACACTTTCTTTATTGTAAGTTTAAAAAAAAAAGATACTTTCTAAAGAATTCTGCATTAAAATATTTATCAATATAAAGATCAAAAATCTTTTTACAATTCTTACAATTAAAATTCTACAAAAACCGAAAAATTTCTTGAAAGAATATCGAGAACTTGAAATCAAACTCTATAAAACTTAAGAATTCTAGTTTTGTTTTACACTGCATAGGATTTCTTAAAATTGATGGATTTCTCTCATGATTAGAAAAGAGATTAAGCAAAATTCAAAGATTTAAATATTCAAGAAATGTTTGCGAACATGTCCAATTCATAAAAAATTTTATACCCTGAGGAAAATCGAATCTAATTATTATACATGATTGACGCAGTCTCGAGATTAACTTCGGCATTTGCGTCGGACAGATCGGGCAAGGAAAGCATTACTGGTATCACTTGAATCTTGCCCGAATCATCATTCCTTAGATGCATCACGGCAGTGCCAGATTGCAGAATATCATTTGTCATCATTTCGTCCGTCATGATCTCTGTACCAGATTCTATGTTATCGGCCGTAACCTCTTCCGTATACACATTGGAATCCTCCATGTTCATAATTACTTCGGTTGCTTCCGATGCCTCTCTCGAAGTTTCTTCATAATTCTAAAAGAATGACAAAGTTGAAAAGAAAAATCATAAGAAAGATGAAAAAAGTGTTAAAAATGTTAAAAATGAAAAATCAATACAATTATGCTCTATAGCTATTCTTTATGCCGTTTCCAACAACTTCCTCGCTCGACATGAGTAATAATAAGATCCAGAAATATTTAAATCAATAAATCGCGAAATCTTTACCTGCTCGTATACTTGATCGTATACCTCTTGACCCTCAAATTTAACGATCCGATCTTGATCGAATTTGACCATTTGTTCTTCTTGAAATTTCTGATCATATTGTCCTTCCTGTTGCTCTTCGTATCGCTCTTCGGTAATTTGGATATTGTGTTGACTCGTTGAGTTCTTGAGCAAACCTTGTTCCTGTTCCGATCCGGAGGAGTCCTCGGCGCGCATTTTCGGTTTGATATTCCTTCCAGGTACGATACGCTTGAAGCCTGAACCACCAAGGCTCTCATGACGACGTTCGTGCTTATTTTTATCGCCGAGATATTTGAAGCGTTGCCGACATACGCTGCATGAATATGGACGTTCGTTGGTATGCGTGCGCTCGTGGCAAACGAGGGCACTCACTTGCTTGCATCGCCAAGGACAATACCTGAAAAATATCAAATAAACAATAAATGATGATGAAGTAAATGCAATAAGTAATATGAATACCATTTTTAATTTTTCCATTCCAGCACAAGCGACTGCAGTGTTTTAAACCGTTATCAGACCATTGACTAGACAAGTAGTTTGGACAGTTTTCTAATTACAACTTTTAAATATTTAAAAAATATGTTTTAACAATTTTTAATAACTTTGTACTTCTGTATTAAGGTGTGTGTGTGTGTGTGTGTGTGTGTGTGTGTGTGTGTGTGTGTGTGTGCGCGCGTGCGCGCGCGCGCGTCAGAATAATTTTTTTTCTACAGAAAATAATATAAATATACAGCGCAATAAATATACAGGGTGTCTGATCTAAAATCAGTACAAAGCTTGTACGCAAGTACACAAGAGCGGTTAAACTGACCAGAAAGATCTATCATTTTGCGATTTTCGCAATTAGTAATGAGTTATTAATTATTAAAAATCGTCGAATGAGCGTGTATCTGTCCAGTCCATTAACGAATGCAAGCGCACAGTTAAGTTAGATCTCACTATGCGCTTAATATTTGCCGCGCAGATATGCGCTTATTAAGCGATTTTTAATAATCAATAATTCATTACACTAATTGCGAAAATCACCAAATAGAGCAAAAAGAACTCTTCTATTCTTGATCTGTTCTACCTGCATACAAGCGTTCTATCATTTGGAATCAAACATCCTGAATAATAAAAGTTGATACATAAATTCTATTATTTTCAAATGTTAATTTTTATTTAATTTTTAAATTGAAAATTATTAAGTTAAAAATAAGCACGACTAGTAAAATTTCTCGATTAATAACGCAAATATGATAACGCAATCATATTTTTTATCCTTGTAAAGATCCATTTTCGCGAAATTAATGTTTTCTTTGAGATATTGACATTGTCCAAAATAATCGATTCACCTGCACTGCAGAGGTCTCTCGTCGCTGTGTCGGTTTTGATGATGCTTGATTAATTGAATCTTAGTTTTTAAATTAAAACCACAGATCTCACAGGTATATGGTCTTTCCTCAGAATGAGAAATCATGTGAGTCTTTAGCCTTAATTGATTCACGAATCGCTTCGAACAGTGAGGACATGCCAAAGTACCCTCGAGATGATTGTGCACGACCATCATATGATGACGTAGACGTACTTCAGATGTAAAAATATCCTCACAGTCGGGACATTTCAATGGATCCTTCTCCATGTGCGTATTTTTTATGTGTGTGCGGAGAATCAGTTCCGTCTTGAAAGTCTTGTTGCAATGATAGCAGGAAACTCGCCTTTTCTCGGGCAGATCAGATTCATCACGATTAACACCTACAAGAGGAATTATTGCTGCTGCTGTTATTATTGTTATAACGTGTGTATTATAAATAAAATATAGGTATAATGAACGCAATACAAATGTAATATATAAATCTACCGTCATTCTCTCCTACTGAAAATCCCAGTAAAGAGAAATTTAAAAAAGTTTTATCTATTTGATAAATTGTGTAAGAGTTTCTCGAATATTTTACTTTAATTTTCATATATTAGAGTTTCAAACAATTATTATTGTAAAATATTAATCGGACATTACATGTAGAATCATCTTATTTTTCTTTTTATTTGATTTAAACATATCGTCAAACATGTACAAAGTATATGAAAAAATAAAACATATTCTTTGTAGATATAAAGCATGTAAAAGCATTACCTGGTATCGATTCGTTATGAATATGCGACATATGCCACTCGAGCGATCTCGTCGAAATCATTGATCTGTTACAAATGTGACACGTATATTGCCTCCCATCTTTATGCATTCTGTTCCTATGGATCACCAAAGTCGAATGATTCGGAAACTTCTCCCCACAAACTTGACAAGAACACTCTTTCAAACCTCTACTACCAGTCTTTTCGTGCACTCTCATATGTAACCTCAGACCATCCCTTCGATTAAACCCGACACCGCAGGTGTCGCAACGATATTGTCTTTGATCTTCGTGAATTCTCACATGTTGTTTCAAGGTCGAGCTGTTTTTGAACATTTTGTCGCAATGTGGACATTCGATACTATAAGCTTTGTGCGTGTGCATGTGTTTCGACAAACTGTAAAATGGTACCAGTTTTCGGCAAACCTGACATTCCCTCTTATTTCCAACCGGCTGATGTTTTCTGATTTTATGATGTCTCAAACTCGCGGGATTCTTAAAATCCGCACCGCAATCCTCGCAAAGGTACGCCCTTAAAGTTGTATGAACAGACTTTAAATGAAAACTTAATTTTTGTTTAAAAGCAAATTTTTTTGGACATTTTGGACACTGATAAATCTTTTCCAAACTCGTATGTTGCGTCTTCAGGTGCTGGTCCAGAGTTCCCTGATGTTTAAATCTTTCCCCACAAACCTCACAAAGTTGACCATAAAGAGCGTCAACATGTTTCTGCTCGTGTTGACGTTTCTTTCCTCTGGAATCCAGAATAGCGTTACAATATTTACAAATTAATTTCCTTACACAAATCACACTATGATTTTTTTTTGCTTTATTAGTTTGAAATTCTTCTCCGCAGTCATCACAACAATGAAGAATACGATAATCATGAGACTTGAGGTGTTCCTCGAGAACGTCACGATTGGAAAAAGTTTCAGAACAGTAATCGCATTCTAAATAGTACTTTTCGGAAATATCAATAGGAAGTTGCGTGTCAATAAGATCCGGAAGGGATTTAGAGGATGATTTCAAAGTAGTAGAAAATCGATCTTCATACAGAGAGATTATGTCCTCGTCCTTAAGGCGAGTGAGAACGATTTTACGCTGTTTAAGATATCCTTGGAATTCCTAGAATAAAAAAAATAGAAATTGAGGAAGAGAATAGGAGTAATGAGTTTAAAGGAAAATCGAAAATATAAACGTGAAAGACATAAAGAACAGAATAAGCCAATGATTTGGATGATTTAAATTTCACTTACGATCGACGATAGAGAAATATGATAAAGAAGAAATAAAACTGAAGTTTTAACAGTATTTAAAATTCCAATTACCCGCAGATTCTCTTCCTTTTCCCCCAAGACTTTTGCTAATTTATCCAAATTTCCTTCGCTATACGATTCGTCCAATTCCTTCTGTAAACTTTCCTTTTTCCGCTTCACTTCTTCCCACTTTAGTTTCAATCTTGATAACTTTGAAAGATGTTCTTCTGTATTGTCATTGATCCTCTCTTGATTTTCATCAATTTCATCTTTCTCCATTTTTTCTTCTTCTTCTTCCTCTCTTCTTTCATCCTTTTCTTTCAAAATTGTAATTTCTTCTTCCGCCTTTTCAATATTTGATTTGGCGGAAATTTCTTCTTCCTGCATCTCTTTTTGCATCTCAATCACGGAATTATTACTGACATACTTTATTACTGATTGACCTCCCAGAACTTTTTCTCGTTTTTTTTTGTATTCTTCGATTTGTTCCTCAATTTTTTGCTCACGGTCGTCAGGACGTCGAGAGAAATCCTTTGATGTTAGTATCTCATAACGTTTGAGGAAACGTTCAACAGGCATGATATCGGCGGAGGTCATAGCGCGCTTTGATTCTACTGGTTTATCCATTTTCTTTACCTGAAAATAAAAAAAATCAGACTGATTCTCGTTAAAATATAACTTGAAGAAAAAAAAGTTTAAAAAAGAAAACGAGACTTATGTGTATGTGTGTGTTGTGTCGTGCGTGCGTGCGTGCGTGCGTGCGTGCGTGCGTGCGTGCGTGCGTGCGTGCGTGCGTGCGTGCGTGCGTGCGTGCGTGCCGTGCGTGCGTGCGTGCGTGCGTGCGTGCGTGCGTGCGTGCGTGCGTGCGTGCGTGCGTGCGTGCGTGTTCTACACACATACGCGCACGCGCATGTATAACGTATAAAAAAAATAGAAAAAAAATATAAAAAAGAAATAAACGGCAATTCCAATTTTTGTCAACTTTGTAACAATCGATGAGGAATTGAATAAAAAACATAGCATAATTTATATAAAAATGAGTAAAAAGAAAAAGTAAAAGTTCTCTGATAACAAAATAACAATTTAAAAAGGAATAGCAAACTTTGCTAAATTCAATTTGATGCAATTTTCAACATTTTTTCCTCTCTTGAAGTTATCATGAATCAAAAACTTCCATTTATTCCAAAGAACAAATTAGAGATGGCATTACTCGATGGACTAAATCTTAGATTGAATTTGTATTTATAAATTCGGAACAATTGCTTATATTGCAAACTTGTATACTTCTATACTTGTCACACCTTTGCTCTACTCACCTTTACTAAAAGAATCTCGTTTGGCTTGGATCCCTTCACAGTCACATACATAATTCCATCCTCTTCTGAAGAACTGTTCACATTTAGAAAATTGTTTGTATCCAACTTTTGCATCTTGTACTCTCCTATTCCACTCTGTACATCGTCCTCTCCATTTTTTATCATAGTCATTGGCATTACCAGTTTTCTTTTCAAGATATTCGGTTGTCTCATTCCTTCTTTTTGATTTTCTCCTTCGCTCTCTGAAATCTGGGAAGTTCCAGATTTAAAAAAAAATCCTTCCTGACTTTCTTCCATCCTCACATAAGACTTTGCTGTCATATCATATTTGTAAATGGTTGTTGGAGATCTCGAAGATTCTTCCTTTTCTTCTTCTTCATTTTCCAGAAGCGCAGGATCTTCGGGATCGAATTCCTCAATGGATTCTTCATCTTCTCCTTCTGCCACTTCCTCGAAAATCCCTCCGCCCATCTTCTCTTGCTCTTCAATCTCCTCATCCTCCTCATCCTTCTCATTCTGCTCACCTTCCTCTATCTCCTCCAACTCCTCCACCATTTCTTCCTCTTTCTCATCTTCTACTATAACCTTTTGCTCTTCTTTCTTAGTCTCATTTTTTTTTATCGCTTCTGTCTCTTTTCTAGAGCCTATTTTTGACTCGTTTTTCAACGAGAAGATGGCACAGATTTTGGGAACAGAGTTGTCTGTCTGATTTCCGTGAGTCGTTTGATTTTCTTGTTTCGTTGATAACAAAGATAGATTTTGTTGAATCGTGGAAGATAATTGGTATCCATGCTTTATATCTGGGAAGGAGAAAAATCTTCTTTATTCTCGCAGTGTATTATCTGTTTTATCTTTTCTTTTTTTAAATAAATGCCACTTATTATATATGTTATACAAGTTAGATTCGTAAGCTAATAAAAAATTAGAACTCTTGTATGATACGTGAAAAATTATATATTGAAAATGATCTGATTATGCTTTTTTTGAATTGCAGATTTTTTTGATCAATTTTGAATTTTAAGTCAGTGATTTTTTTTATTAATATGAGAATATCTATCACACAATTTATTATTAATTATAACCAATAAAAAAAATATCTGGAAATCAAGTTTTAAAGTTGCTGATAGATAAATTTGTTAAATAATTTTAAGCAAATTTTATATATATTTTAATAAAATTTTAATCTTAACTTACTATGATATCTAATAAGAATTTTAAAAATTATAAGAAAGATCTCTATTTTTAAAATGAAACTATTTTTACACAGAACAACATTCAATTATTAATATTCATTATAATTCGAAACATAATAAAAAAAAAACTGTAAATAAGAGTACCTGAATAAGACAATTGTTTTTCTTCTTTTGTTTTCAAAGATTCATCATTTGCTACTTTCTTTGCACTATTGTCAGCTGTGAGATTTACATGGATAGATTTGAGTTTTATTTCGGCTTTTTTTATTTGCATAAAAAATTTATAACTCATTCTAAGATCGCAAATACAATCCATGCACATTTGTGTAGAAAGACTGTCATGAGGATCTACCTCAAGATGCTTGATTTGCTGGCTTAATCGCAATTTGATGCCCTTTTCACTAAAGATGTCTACCTACAACAGTTAGTAAGAACAACCATAATGATATAGCTGATATTAATAGTCAAAAATAGTCAGAAATAATTATGTTTATAGCAAGTTAAATCCATTATGTGAAAAAAATGATAATCATCAATAATAAATAATAATAAATATGCAACGTTTCTTCATTTCAATTTTTATTTCATTAAATTTTTAGCTGCTTGTTTATGCTGTTTATTTTAATTTTTACCTATTTTAACTTTTACTCTTTTTTAATTTTGAATTAAATTTAAGCTACAAGAGATTTTGCTTTGCTTAAAAATATGTAAAAAAAAAATATGTAAAGTACATACCAAAGGCATTTTTAGGCCAGCACAAGTGCGGCAATATTTTCTTAATTCTTGCTGCGTTCTCTCAAGAAAAGACATATTATTCTGTTGTAACTTGCCGCTATTGTTATTTAAAGATGAAATCCTCGTTAATTCATTCAAGCTCTCAGTGTCTTGTAGACGGACGCGAGGTGTTATCTTCTTCAACTCATCAATATCCTTAATCTGACCCATGACAGATCCTGTCTTGAATGCCTTGTTGATAATGCCACCATTACTACTGTTGGTATGTTGAGAGGCTTTAATTCGCTGTAATTGTGATCACGTTTGATCTCAGGATTCGGCATCTTATTTTTTCTTTTTCTTTGGGATCTTCTATACTTGTTCTTTAGCACGTGATAGAAGTTTTAATTTGATATCTTATATCGTCCGTCTTTTACAGTATTTTTTGCTTTAAAGACATCTAGCACAAAAAATTTAAGATATATACATATATACACATGCATGCATATATACACACACACATACACACACATACACACACACATATATATATAAATATAAAATAAAAGTAAAATACATTATATACCTAACAAAATCTTTAGAAGTAGCAGAATAAAATACCATAATTATCAAAGAATCCAAATAGCTGACTATAGTATCTCTACTGTCCATTTTGCAGTTTTCGCTATTACTTTCTTTGCATATCGCAATTTTAAAACAATCATTCTAATAAAACACACCATTACCCGATAGACATTTTCTCATTAGAATAGCATATTGTGTGCATATAAAAATCTACAATAGCGTTTTTGCTATACTGCAGTAGGTACCGATAAATTCTAAAATTAAAAAGAAAATTGCTCTTCCTTGACAAAACTTCTCAAATCTCAAAATGTAGAAAAGAATCCTTCCGTCTGCTCGTTTCTCTTTCCTAAAATAAAGAAATATATATGTATAAATAATTTCCTTAAAATCAATTATCAAGTTAATTGCAAATATCAAGCAATGTTATCAATCCAAAGAGTACTGGTGTGTAGTTACCAATTCTTAAATTGAATCAATATCCCGCAGAATGGTCGATTCTAACCGAATCAAGTCAAGAATCGAGATTAAATTGAGATTAAACTAGGTTAGATTCGCGAGAATCGCCTGCAAAACGAAACGAATCTCAAACTGAAAGCTACTGAAGACGAAGACGTGCCCGCAAGATCCGTCGCACTTGGACGCAATACCGACGATAATAATCTTGTCTTTGACGAAAGGAAACTCTGAATACGCGCAATATACTCAACACTTAGTCGCGAATGCCAGATGGCGTGCAAATGGCGACGCTCCCTCGGAAATGCTTGGAAACACATTGAAATAATGAGCGCGTTCGATAAAGCAAACCGTTAAGTTGCCATCTTGCAACAGAACTACACATCGCCACCATCGCACAGAAAATGCATAGCATGACAAAATTGCGTATATATATATATATCGTAAGAGCGACTCTCACCAATTTCCGGTTAAGTTAATCGACGATTGTCTCGGTTAGTCATTGGAATTGACTAATCATATTTATTGTTAAATTTGTTGCTAAATTGCGATTGGTCAATTCCGATAGAATAATCGACTGATTAAATTAACTAGAGTTGATAAAAGTGACTTCAAGAAGTCGATCATGTAACTTTTCCCCTAGGGCGGAAACGTGAAAAGTGAAAAGTTTCACGTGAACTTTTTCCTTATGTACCTTGGTGGCGGACAGGCGGAAATCTAGGGAATTAATAAATATGCTTCGGAATTAGAAAAGATTAGGGGTGCTTTCCATTTAGTGACACAAGTCGACAAGTATCATTTTGTCCTTGTTAATCATTGAAAGCCAAGAAAGATAGAACGACACTTGTGTCGACTTGTGTCACTAAATGGAAAGAGTCACCCTAGAGCTGCGTCGGATATACGATTCGAAGTGTACATAGTATATATACAATCGGTCATTGAAAGGTGTATATAATACTGTACCAATAAAATAATTTTCCTATAAAACCTATGAAACTATGTTTCATGATTTCACTTTCCACGCATCCAAGCTGCATACATAATCGTTATACGTGAAAAGTTTCACGCGAAATGTCATTGCGTGAAAAATGAAAAGTGAAGAATGAAAAGTAAAAAATTTCACGTGAAATTACATGATTGACCTCCAAGATGTATACGCATCTGTAATGCGCATGGTGTAATAAAGAAAAAAGATATGACATTGGAATAAGTTGCTTTCCATATTGAAAAATAATAGCAAAGTAAGTAGATAGAGGAAATATTAGAAATAGGAATAAATATTAAATTTTAGAAATAAAAGTTTAGAATAGAAATTAAACGTAACGCATAATAAATATTATCAAGTATAAGATATGACTATATTTTGTATTTATTTATATTCATTGGATGTTACATTTAATTTTCATTCCAAATTTTAATTTCCAAAATTTAATATTTAATATTCCTATTAATATTTGCTCCATCGTGCGCAGGCTCTAAAGGAATTTGTAATTATATTCATGATTTGTTTTTGTAAAAAATGGTAGTATGCAGTGTTAAAAGATGTAAAAATCGTAGTGAAAGTGTGAAAGAAAAAATAAAATTATGTTCTTTTCCAAAAGATAGTAAATTTGCAACAAAATCGATGAAAGCTTGTGACAAGGAGGTTAATTTCAAAAGTGATATACATGTACATAAATTAAATGTTACTAGTATTATACAAATTTACGTTACAAAATACAACAAAAAAATTATATATTATAAAAATATTTCAGTACGTATTTGTTCGATTCATTTTCTCTCACATTTTCTTCTCATATTTTCCATTTATTTTTTTTTTATTTTTTTTTTCTTTTAAATTTGTTCATCGATATTTTGTCGATGTTTTTTTTAATAAGTTCTATTATTTATACATATGAAAAAAGTAAAGATAAATAAATAACTGAATAAAATACTTTC